TGGGGAGCGCTGCCTGCATCTGCCCGCGGGAGCTGTCGGGGCACGGGCGGAGGCAGGGACGAAGCAGGATGCGGTTTCCGCGGCCCGGGAGTAGAGCGTGTGCCATGAATGGGGGATCGCCAGCAAGACGCTTGTCTGGGGCTAGATCAGCTTCGGCAAAGGACCCGACTCCAGCCCCTGAGCCGTCCTCCAGGCGCCGGGCCGGTGGCTCCCGGGCCGCCTCTCCGCCCGCGCTGGCCGGGGCTCGCCCGTGTTGGGTTCCCTCTGAACTTCCTGGTAAGAGGCAGTCTTGGCTGTGGCTGCTGTTGAAAGAAACACGGTACCTGTAAGGGATGGACTTCACCTAAACACCGAGCGGCCCGTGAGACTGTTAATGCTGTTGTTTGCGTCCCCCTGGCCAGGTGGGTATGTTGTAGGGGGGGAAGATGCTGTCTCGCTCATCAGTTGAGTTTCCTGGGGTTCAGGAGGCAGGGATCTTTGCCACGTTGCCTGCCTGGATCCCCAAGCTGGCCCAAGGTGGTATCCAAGTTGCATGGTCTTTAATGCATTCATCTTCACAGCCCTCCATGAAATAGGAAAGAGCTCTTGCCCGCATTGCATAGCTGAGGGGTGCAAGGCCTGGAGTCCCGAAGAGTCTCCTGTCATCTAATTCCCACTGATTTCACTTCACTACCTTTGTGGGTTTCCATCCAACTTACTTGCCCAGGGTCACCCCAGGAAGAGTCAGGAACTGTGCCCACATTTCAAGCAGCAGGCTAGCACCTAAACCACTGGATTATGCAGCCCTGCAGGATTTCTAACAAAACAACAGCTTTGAAATTCATTTTTTTTAATCAAGTTTTATACCAAATCATTAAAACATTTGTAGAGGAAAGGCTTTTTGTGACTCTTTGTTGGACCAACTGTATAGTTGAAAGTTGTTGGACAAGCTTTTGAGCACCAGGTGCCCTTAGATCTGATATTTCTAGTTGTAAAAGATCATGGGAACAGCTTCCCTTCACTAATAAGGCTAAAACATTGTTCCCAAATTACCTTGACAGCAACGATCAGGCATGCACTGCAGTATTTCAGAGACTGCCCCTGCTCCTAGGCAGATATGCCTCAACCTTCTCAGTCACCAACACTGAAAAGCTCAGAGCAGGAAGCAGGACAGTCAAGGAGATGTCAACAGCACTGTAGAAAGTGAGGGGGGGGATGGAAAATGCCCATCTCCCCCCCCCCCGCTTGGGACCACTATTGCATAATGAGTGTTATTGCTCAGTATTATTACTGCAGTTCAGAGAGACCCCAGCTGGAATCAGGACCCCTTTGTGGGTGTGTTGTAGGAAGCAGTTTCTATTCTAGAGCAAATGAATCGACAAGCTCCAAACCCAGTCCTGGTCCCTGGGGCCCTGTCTATATACCTTCCAGATCCACCAACAACAATATGAAAGCCCAACCCAGTTGTTTGCAACTCCTCTTTGGTTACACTGGAGACCAGCAGGTAGGGTAGATGGCTTTGGAGCAGTTTCGAGCAATGCAGGACAACGTTTTTTCAGGCCTGGCACAAATTAGCCCCTTAATTTTTCAAGTGCCACTCCAGTCACCATCCCCTGCCTGCTCTGCTTTCTGCTCCCTGCCTGATATGCCACATGCAGGGGCTGCCCATGCCACTTGCAGCATGCATGCCACAGGTTGGCCGCCGCTGGACTAAAGCATAGCCGAGCATCCCCTCCCCCAGTGTCGTTCTCAAGTTCTCCAAAAACAGAGAGCTGAAGCGCAGCTGGTACCTGCATTTGGGAGCCTCCAAAATCTCCTCTGCCTGACTGTAGGTCACTGGTTCATCCTAGGTGTCCACAGGACTCTCAGGTGCAGGGGCCAGGTTATGGCAGAAACAGCTGTATAACTGAAAGGAGAGAGTTTTATTCTGCACTTTCAGACAAAGGCATCCTTTCCATTTTGTGTCATTTCAGATACAGAATGTCACACAGGGCGAGTCACACCTTGCCCATGCTTATCTCTCTCTGTGGTGGAGATGTGTTTTCCCCACACAGAGCAGAATACAAGAATCAGACCCTTAACAGATTTACTGTATCACTGTTCTGCCCCCAGCATCCTCTGCATTGATAGTTGTGAGATATTGTGAGTAAAGAGCGTGGGGACTGGCTGTTTTCCTGGCATGGATCTCAGCTGTTTATTTATGCTGCTACTCTGAGGTGCTTGTGCCCTGACCCGGTCCTGGAACCTTTTACAGCTGAAATAAGAGTCAGCTGGAAAAGATAAAGAGCAGAAAGCAAGCCTTCATGTCCTGCCTCTCTCTCACTCCCCCTCCTCCCACAGCACTGGAACAGCTTCCCAGGCCTGCATGGTCATTTTATTTTACAAGAGTAGTCAGCTGAAAGTGCAGCCTTTATCTTTACACAGACATGTTCTCCATGCATAAGTTCAGGCAGGGTAAATGTCCATTGCCCAGGGCTTCTCATGATAAATGAGGCCCTGCCCTTGTCTTCAAGCATCAGCAAGCCTTAGGTGCAGGAACATCACTGGTGCCAGCTTCTCTCCTTCACTGGTGGTTTTGTACAGTCAATCTTTTCTCCATTGCTTTCCCAGCACACTCCTGCCCTGGCATCTAAGCCATACGTAACCTATTAAGCCAAGGGCATAGCAGGATCGTGCTGCAAGATCCCAGATTCAAACCTATTGCCAGCAGCTTGTTGCCAGGCACTGTGTTACCCAGCCACTGGGATGACAAGATCTGGTACAGACCATTGATTTTTGCAGCACACAGACAGGTGCCTCCCCTTCATCTAGCCAGCCCCCTCACTCTGCCCTGACAGTTTTCTGCACCTGTGAAATCCCCAGGCAGTACCAATAGACTTTGATGCCAGCTTTCATGATGAATTGCCCTGCTCCAGTATGTCCCTAGGCTCCACCTGCAGTAGACAGGCAGTGCCAACTCCTCACCTGCTTCACACATCTGCCTTTGCTACCAGCAAAAAAAAAAAGCCAAATAAGTACATTTACAGAAGTTTGCCTCAAAAACAACCACCAAGATGTCTGCAAGTGAAAGGGGTAAAAAGTTCATAGCAGCTGCTGGGTGCAGCCAGCAATGTTTGCTCTGTAAAGCATAGGTGAATGCATAGCTTGGAGGGTGCAAGGTCAGGGTGCCCCCAGAGAGTTCATTAGCAAGTGTCAGCTACAAGATGCCAGTCAGCATCGTATCTGTTCATTGGGGCCAGCACAAAACATCTGACAGCCGACTGTGCATAGGCACGTGCAGGTGAGTAGATTTGGCTGCTGGGGAAATGCAGGCATTTAATTGGTAGTGATGCTACCCTCCTCCACTGGTGTACATTACAGTCCAAAAACACATTGATTTGCAGTTGCTGAGGGCCAAAGGACTCAGGAAAGAGTTGTAGAGAGGCCCTTCGTCTCCTGAGCATACGGGTCCAATAAGTGTCACATTTAATGACAACCTACTGTGCAAGGAGCAAACCCTGGCTTCATGAAACTTAGAGCCATTGTTAACAGTGTCAGTCTGAAGACAAGTAGAAAGCAGGATGGATTTGCAACTTATAGATAAGTCAACCACACACACGTTTGCGAGCTGTAATTCACTTCATCAGATGATGTGAAACGGTATGCAAAAAGCAGCCAACACACAGGCCCATTAGTGCCATACAAGCTTTTATTTTGGCTACCCCTCACTGAATCCCTGTGGCAGTATGGGAATCATCCATATAATACATGGCCAGGTGAGAATAGACTGTATTACTACAAACGCACTTGGGCCACACCCTTGGGCATCTGTGCCTCTCTGAAATGCCCCGCTTTAGCAGGGAGAGGTATCTAACAACACAGCATAGCCCAAAGAAAGTTACTCTGTTTGCAGTCTGCTCTGCCCCAGAATACAAGAACAGGAAGGTATGCAATGCAATTCAGTGACAACAGTGTTGGCACACATGCAGCTTGGAGCAAACAGAAGGAGGGAGAATGGGAAGGTCAGAAGTTGGAGCTACCAGCCCTTGGCAGCAGCAGAGTTCTCTGCGTGGCCAAAGGCCTCTGCATAGGATGCTTGGCCAGCAGCTTCCATTGCCAGAGCAGAGCTTCTGGATAGCTTTTTTCGGCAGTTCTCCCCAATATCATATAGGAGGAGGCAGGATATCACCATCCAGGGGTCTTCCCATTACAGCTCTGCTCCATAGGGCATAGTATAAAAAGAAGGGGCCCCAGCTGGACCCCTTTTTCCTTTCCACTAGCCCAGTGCCCTGCTTGTATTGCTTCCACAGCTGACTGCTGGATGTGATCTTGTTACTCACCCACTGCAACAGGATTTGCCTCTAAGGTGACTACACAAATTCTGTCTCCCTGTGGCTCCCCAAGGTACTGCCCTGTCCTCACCTGCCACACCTTGCTGGAAAATAAATCTAAGATGGGAGGCTGTCCTCAGAATACCAGAGGGAGCCTTGAGGTGCTTCACTCTGCCCCTGCTCATCAGCAGCCACCTCACTCTGGCCCAGTCTTTGAGTTTTAACCCTCAAGTAGGGTCTCTCTCCCTCTCGTTGGCCGCAGCT